AGCCCAGACGGTCCTGGAGAACGAAACAGATGTTTTTGAAGACGGTCCTGTAATAAATGCAGGCTGCTCGTTTCAGAGTTCATCGTTTGGAGTTCCTTCACACCAGGGTTGTTATAGTTGACTAAAACTAACTAAATAACAAAAACTGAAATTGAAAAAAAAATTTTAGTTAACTAAAATGGTTTTGTTTTTTCAATTTCAGTTTTCGTTATTTAGTTAGTTTTAGTCAACTATAACAACCCTGGTGGGAAGGAACTCCAAAGGATGAACTCTGAAACGAGCAGCCTGCATTTATTACAGGACCGTCTTCAAAAACATCTGTTTCGTTCTCCAGGACCYTCTGGGCTCTGTTCAGACAGATCGGAGCTCTGGCTCACGCAGAATTCGCCGACTCCGCGCAGCCGCATCCTCCTCCTGCATCCCACATCAGTTCCTCTTCTCACAGCAGCGCTGTTTTCGAGCGCCGTCACGAGGCCCTCGGCCGTGAGCGAGCGGAGCGCGGGGGGGCTCATAATCCTATCTGACAGGAAATGGTTGAGATGCCACGACACATCCACAGCAGGGCTCGTTCCCCCCCACATGGCTTGCACAATGTTAATTTCAACAAGCTGGAACGCTGACCTTAGCATGCACACACACACACACAAAGAAAAACAGACAAATTTTTGTGCAATTAGCTTCTTAATGAGGGTCATTACTGTGCGTGAGTCGTGGCAACAAAACAACACATTTGCTGATTTAAACTCGTGTCCCATCAGAAAAGACAAGAAACAACAGCTCATTTTAGATAACGCATTACGCGGTTTTCTTGATGGCAACATGCGATACTGACAAAGATTAACGTCCTACTCTTTAAACTATTTTCCAATTTTAGTCCTTCCAAACCTTTCAAAGGAAAACCTTGATTGCAACCAGACAACAGGATCATTAGCCCAGAGATGACAGCTCAGCAATAAACGTTACGATAGGCCCCCGATTAGTGATGTCATGGTGAATCAATGTGTCACATCAATGCACAGTGCCAGAAATTCTAACAAAGACACATGGGGTCATTTTGTTTTTTTTTAAAAGCCATAGATCATCCACACAAGCACAGATGCGATCGGAATATCTTCTCAGTGTGTTTGGATGGCTAGGCGATGAAAGAAAGGTGGGGAGAGAATGAAAATAATTACTGGCCTTGACGTGAACTAGTCATGTTTCCAGTCACAGATCATTTGACACTGATCGCTTGCAACTGAGATGAGAAGCGTGCACAAAAAAAAAAAAAAAGACTACATGTCTGTTGATGAAAACGCACACACATCAAATCTCTCCAGCATATTCTGGATCACTGACTTCACTATTCTGTTTTTCCATAAGCTTGCCAAAACAAACAAAAAAAAGGTTCCCTTGGACAATCTTACTTTTAAATAAAGTTATATAATGATATTTTAGGATTTTTGCTTTAAAACCATTTACTGCAAGAAATGATCCATCTTGAGAACATTACTAAGAACGATAACATAACGCCCCAAAGTGGGTTCASTATTGTAAGATCAAACTTCAGATGAAACACAGTGTTTGTAATTTTTTTGCATTTGGATGACAAAAACTTGTTTCACAGAATCAGTCAAGTGTTTCACTTCATGCCCTTCAGATGAWGTTCATCACGTAGATCTCAAGTTTCTCATAATAACCAATAGACAAACCAGCAAATCCCTTTTAACAGAAACTGGCTGTTCAACGATCAGATATCCCCTCAATAATGGCGAAAACTTTGGAAACAGTACAGCGCTTTCAGTCACTTGAGACTCAGCACACAGTGTGGGTATTGACTCAAGGTGGTGTCCAAACAAGATTATAGAAATCATTTAATTTATCGCCACTCTCTGGCTTCTCATCAAGTGACTGTGATGAACTGCTTAGAAAGCACGTCACAGTTCACCTCTGCTCCTGGAAACGGTGGCTGCCAGGCATTGCGCAGGACAAAAGAACTTYGTTTACATTCCTTTTTTTTATACGTCTTCCTGAGTGGAAACCGTACGCTTCAATTTGCACCTCTGCACCACTCCAAACAAATGACACATCAGATGGCCTCGCGTGTACTTGGCGCATGCAGGTGATGGTTGTTCATCATTCGTGAGGAGTCAGGCATGACTGGAATCTGATGGTTGCTTCATAAAAGCAGCATTCTGGTAGGACGTTTGCTGATTAATAAAAAACAAGTACTGAAATGAGCTGATTCAGCACTGTAAAGCAAGACAGACTTCCTGGCTGCTCTGGATGAGTACAGCTCTTACAGTTACTTAAACCTTGGCCAAGATGCTTGAAAATAAAGAGACAACTATAGTAAGTTATCTCACATGCTGCCATGTTGATGATAAAAAAATGAATGAAGTATGAAGGATGTAATCACACAATTTTGAGAAAAAAAATCTTTATAAGACATTATTTGAGCATCAAAATCCAACTAAAAATGTGGGATTTATGAACAAGACTTGTCAAAGACACCACTTACCTGCAGAGCACAGTTCATCATCCGAACTGTGTAGTCAAACTGCTGGTGGTCCAGGATGGCGCGGTTCTGCTGAACGTGAAGACTCAGTTCGTCAGTCAGACACTGGCGGGCAGCTTTACCCTTCAGCGCTCGCAGAGCGGCGGGCAGCGTCTGTTTGGGTACAGACCAACAAGCCGGGGTGGGGGTGGGTGGGGGGAGAGGGTAATGTAACAGGGAAGAAGTGAGTGAGATATGTGGTTCAAAACAAAACAGTAACGATATTAATCGCGATAGAAACATGATCAATATCAATAGAAAATACATKGTTGATAATTTCACTGAACGCTTGACCTCTCTCGGTTCAGCTAAGCAAGGCTGGTGGCCTCAACTAACTCACTCACTCACTCTCTGGTCAGCTAGCTACAACCTGTTGAGAAACGTAGCAGTTTCACGTTTTGCCACCGTGCTTCATAGCTGGTTCAAAAATAAATAAAACGTGGCAAGAAAGGAGAAAATGAGTGCAACAGCTCGAGAGGAAATTGTGGATATAAAAGGAAAAGTCACGTCACCAGTTTGGCAATATTTTGGATATTTGAAGAGTTGTTGTCTGCAAACTATGCAAGGTCGTCGTCCCTACAGAGTCTGGAATTAAGACAGTTTTATTTAATCTCCTCAGCTGCTCTCATTCCTACAGCAGCYTCAAACCATCGACATCTGGCAGTGGAGCAACACACAAGCAGGAACGAGGTACTTGGCAGCAGTTCAACTGTATTTGACTACTTTTATAGTTGTGTTGACCTCGTTTTAAAGTTTATGCTTAAAACAAAAATATTTAAATTCAGCCATCTTTCCTGGTTCTTATTTCAAATAAAAAAAATCAATAATTATCTATACTGACTGATATAAAACACTTAACTCTTCTTTAAGCAGATAASAGTTTAAATCCTGCATGAAGCCAGACACAAGAAGTAACTGGTAACAGTCTGGTTGGACATTGGGCAGATATTTCACCTCTGACCTCAGATAGATTGTGCTTCTTTGAAGAGACTACTTAAGAAAGACCTTTGTTCTGCYCTAACTACAATAATGTATAAGAGCCACAGTAAATATTACACAAATATTTACTAAAGAAGCTGATGGGTGGGGCAAAATTCAGAAAAAAAATTCTTAGAAATTGCATCACTAACGTCACATTTACATTGAAAACATATATTTTCTTGGAAAATACTGGAAACTCCTACATTCCAAGAAGGAAAAAAAAATCTTGTTCACTGAAATTCTTCATATTCACTGATATTTTAAAGGTATACATTTGCTAGAAAAACAAAGTCAAAACAATCACAGGAACATCGGAACTTTTTTTTTCTGATAAAGGAAGTTTGAACATYTTTATCGTTTAGATATATAGCTTTACGATGTCAGAGAATCACCTTTGTTCTTCYAAATTTGAGTATTTAACCATAAATAATGACCAATCAGCTCATTTTACTGCTAATACAGCGCTGTAATCGATGCTTGCAGAGACAAAAACAAATGACAAACTAAGAAACTTCCTTCTCGTCTTCCTTGGAAGGTGCTGTTGGAAATGGCCCCAGAGTGTGTTTGATTAATGACCTGCAGTATTAAACCTGAGCCTCTGTTTGCCAGCTGGGAGAAATGAGGATGTTGAAGAACRTTTTGCAGCTTTATGACTGTTTGCTGGAGCAGTGCAACTCTGAGGACGGATGCCTCTGGCTAATGCGCTTGTCTAACGGTTGATTAGCTCCTCTGATGAAAGACAGTGGGCTTCACCTTTTCAGTCTCCAGGGTCTTGTTGTCAAAAATGAAGGAAATGCAGCTCCTGACCACCTCCAGCCTTCGAGCGCTGTTAAACACGGAGCCGCTCTTCCCCATAATGGACACTGGAACAGAAAAACGAGGACAGGTTCAAATTTAAGCTGCTCCAAAGGCATTTGACACATGGGATGAATTTGTAAGAAAACACAGCAGCTGTATAAATAGTTCTAGTAAATGCTTACTAGGGGTGCAACAATACATGTACCCGTATCGAACCGTTCATTACAGTGATTTAGGTTCGATACACACTTGTATCGAACAATCCAGATTTTTAAAATTTATTTTATCAACTTGTCTTCTGAAGATGCTCTGTGTTGAAGGATCAGTGGATCTGTGTTCGACTACTTCACCTAGGCTGCATTGTCGAGCGCAGATCCACCGAGAAACTTGTTTCAGCAACATTTAATTTAAAAACTGTACTTTTGAGGTTAAACAAATGTTCATAATTAATTTAAARAAATTACAAATTAAAAAMGGCARGGACATTTTTCTTTTTTGTATCGAAAAATATTGAACCGTGACACTAAAGTATCGAACCGAATCGTGAATTTTCTATATCGTGGCACCCCTAATGCTTARGTATACTGGATATTATAAGAGTAAAAAAGTCGTACCAACAGGTGGTCCGGCAGGTACGACACACTTCTTCTCAGGTCGTGGGGACACAGGTGCGCTGCTATGTTTTGCTACACCCTCCTGCAGATTACTCTCCACCRTTTCGTCATCAAGCAGGGGGAAAGGAACCTGGTGCACTCGCAAGTGAGATCCTTCAGACGGACGAGGCACTTTCTGAAAAGCCATGTGGGGGTTTGGGTTCTCCTGCAGCCCAGACGCCAGGGAACAAGATGAAACGCGGCGCATGACTTACATAAAATGCTAAAACCATGCCACCACATGAATACATCAGAGAATCTATGAAGCAGTTTCTCTTACGTTTCTGTACAGCTGCTCGGAGAGCTCCCTGATGTGCTTCTGCAGCTTGGCCGGGTTCACCTCTTCMTCTTTAAAGCTGTCGAAGTCCAAGGCCACGAGCTGAAAAACACAACAGTTAAAGCAAAAAAACAAAAAACAAAAAACAAAAAAAAACAAAAACAAAACACAATAAATATGCGATGCACGCCATAAAAGATGTGGATCAACACGTTCAAAGCCTGATTGTGACACGAGAAACAATGAGAAATAGTTGAGCAAGCAAAAGTTAATCTAATTTCCAAAAGAAACAAAGCTAAAAAGGTAATAAATTTTCTTAACATGTTTTTTGGGGAAAAAATATGTTTGCAGCTTAAAAAACAACTACATTCAGGAACACTTTGAACGCCCTGAATCAAAACTCAATACTTCATATTTGGAATGTAGCAACTTTTATAAAATCATAATATTTAAAATATGCTGAAAACAATTTAGCACACTTGTCCTAAACAAACTCCTGCTTGTTGCACACTTTTCTTCCTTTCCTTTTCATTCCCTTGTTGTGCACACTTTTTGAAATTATTTAATTTTATCGGGGGGAAAAATGACAATAATGCATGAATGAATTATTTTATTTGGTCACATTAAAGAACACTCCACACAAAAACGAACAAAAGTTTAACCTTATATGACCCAATAGGTAGAGGTAGAAGCCAATGGCTTATTGTGCCTCGCCTTACAATTCATAATGGATTCCCCAAAACAAAATACACAAAAAACACACATATACTTCACCTACATCCTGGTTTTATGCATCATTTTATAAACACAAAATACAAATCATTAATACTGTTTTTATTATCGAAGATATCATTATTATTGTCCATACATGCAAAAAAAAGTATAATACCCCCACCGTCATCCCAACTGACTACTATAAACCATAACTCATAATTAATTTACTTTTTAACTTCTTTTTGAAACTGCAAAAAGGGTGTCGAAACTAATGCACTGTAACTGAGGCTCAGCTCATCAAACACGTTAAAAACTGCTTCCCCATCACTGTTTAAACCTTTTCTCTACAGCCGGTGGTGTCGTACCTCATCAAAGAGATCGCAGGCTCGGAACGGTGGACCTCTCTCTGAGACGAAGCCAGCGAAGGCCATGCCGTCCAGAACCTTGGTCAGGAAATCGTTCTCAATGAGGCCTCGCTGGCCCAGGAAGGCAGTCTGGGTAATGTCAGAATGAGAGCAGTTACAGTTCCAGATCTGCTTCATATGGACATTATTTACTGCAAAACAAACACCGTCATCTCAGGAGTTTTAGWATTTGATCACAATCTCTTAAAATACATCTCTGCAGGGGTCCTGTGGGGGCATTTTTCAGTTATTTAGCATGAGCAGAGGAGAGGAATGAATCAAAGTTATGAATCAATCCATGCAAATGAATTTAATTTACTTGCATAATTATTTGTGCTTGTGGGCAGAGGAGATAAAACGCATTTCGCTCATGCTTTCCCCACTCAGGGATTCCAGGCACAGCTTTTGTTGATAATGCGATCCATGTGGGGTACTTTGAGGATGATGTGCTAATGGGTTTCCACGTAGACACCGCAGACTTGAGCAAACAAAAAAAAATCCCCGACACGCAACAAAAATGTAAACCTAATACGTTTCAGATGGCACTCTGCCGGGGGCCTTTTATGTCCGCAATTTTCACAAATCAGAAGGACAGCATCAAACGAGGAGTCGTGGAGCCTTTGAGACACATTTAAAAACAACACACAAACACATTACGCATCCCTGAAGAGTTTATCTGTCGTTACGTGTCATTCCACCCACGTTGAAAACATTCTTGGCCGATTAAAAGAACAAAGTGTTTGCTGAGGAGAGATTGCCTAACAAGTTTAACCTAAGGTCGCGTGGCGGAAAAATTTGGTTTTTGTTTAAAAAAAAATTTTTTTTTTCCCCTTCTGGGTTTTCTATATCATAACTATCTTACCTTGTGAAAGTGAATAACAGGTTCAGAGTGGATGCGGATGAGCTGCAGGCAAGACCTGTAGCCCTGGAAGAGTTGTGCAAACAGCCTGAGAAAGACGGCCCTCACCTCTTTGTCCTGGCACACACACACACACACACACACACACACATACACATGTAAACACACTGCGACAACACTACTCATCAAACAGTTATGTCTCAAATGCAGTCTGATAAGTTAATTCTGTGACAGACATGTTGTCTTTAGGTTAATGGGTTACAGTCAGTGCCTGCGCTCCAACACTGACTGTTTCTCTGATAAGAAACTATATCAGTGGAGSGCAGAGGACTCCCAACGTGAAAATCATTTATTTATAACTGAGACTCATCACTCCTTACGGTGACACATCGATGTGATCATTTATGTGAGGAGATAATGCTCACATACCAACAATTTGAGGTTAGAGGGTGCTGTGCGAGGTGGAGGGAATGCATTGTCTGCAATCTCCAAATCTGGGTGCAAAACCTGAAAAAAAAAATCATCCATATGATTTATTTCACTTGATTTGAGTTACTCTTTTATTCATAGCAACATGCAAGAATTCAGACTCTGAAGTGAGCCCTGCCTGTGCACGGTGCAAGAGACTGTTACAAAAATCTTGGAAAATATTATCAGGAAAGTAAAAAAAACAAACAGTTTTTGAGTGAATAAAAGTTACAAAAAGAGCTACTATGATTGATCATTTCAGTCTTCAACTTAAACATTCAATTAGGATACATTTGACTTATTTTGAATATCTAAAGGCYGCATAGTCTGCYTTTTCCAGGCACGRAGTTCAATTCRATACCACAATTCAGTAACTATGATACCTTCAGTTGTTGTGAAAATAATGCATATATGAAAAATGAGGGGTGCTCTGTGGGGCTGCACACTGAGCTCCAGGGAGGAGCTTTGTAGAAATGGGCGGTGCTTTGCACCAACAAGCGTTTAGGCAGCTCCATATGGCTACCACAGTAAATTCAAGGATCTCTTTAACGTGCATGAATGAGTCAAAGCAACACTCTGGGTTTGTGTTTGATGAAGGAATGACATTAAAACATGATAAAAAGCTAAAGAAATTTGGATTTTTTCATAATACCTCTCCTTTAACATTCTCATGTTTTATAATGGTTGATTTTAAATGCGTGAACGCATGCAAATGTGCTTACCAGGGACAGAGTGCTCTGCGTTTGGTGCAAGAGAGGTTCAGGAAGAAACGACAAGTGGATGCACTCAGGGATTTTTATTGTTCCTCCATCCAGGTCAGCAATAATAACATCCAGCTGAGCAAAACACAAAACACATCAATCCATCAGGTGCTTTGACAGCAGCTGTGACATAAAAACATGTAAGTATACCTAGAATAAAAAAAACAACTAAAAAAAAAATCCTCCTTTGTACACAACAGCTGCTTTGGGATTCCAAAAATACATTTTACAAGACTCCAGTACTTGTTATGGATTGTCCGATGTTGAAAAGTTCTCAATAAATTATCCTGTGAGCTCACCAGATCCTGGATTTCACTCTGAAACATGGAGTGCACTCCGATGATGAAGGGAGTGGGCGAACTCAACACCTCCAGCAGACGTGAAGGCAGAATAGGGATGTATGGGTAACTGCCAACACAGGAAAAGATCACAAATCATCACTTTTTTTTAATATAAATTCATTTAAAACCTTCAGTTTTACTAAAGAGAAAGGTTACAAAACAATGAGATGAAAAAAAAAACAAGTGTAAAATATGCTCTACTGCAGCGCAGAAATTCCAATTTACCTGATTAATCATGTAAAAAGTTTAAGAGATTTTCAAATTATTCAGAGATCTTGCAACCAAACAGCTTTGGAAATTTTATGTCAGCGTCACTGTTTACCAGAAATTTTGACAGTCTTACATAAAACAACTGCCAGGAAATACTTCTCTGGCACTGTGTTATCATATCAAGTCTGAACACATTTTCTTCTAATTACCTGAAACAACAAATTACTCATCAGAATACTGTAGCTCGTATCTCTTTTAGCCTAAAGGCCTAATTTACAAAGAAAAAGTGGTAAATACATTATATAAATGACATTCAAAAATACTTTTTAAGTGTCCCATAATAATAAAGTTAAAAATTTAGCACAAATATTATGACACAGATGTCAAAAMCCTTTCTAATTCTGTCAATCCACAAACAGTGGAGCAAATTAAATTAGACCAAAGCTGCAGAAACTGAAAAATGCCTCCAGCTACTCGACCCATCCAAAACAAAGCCTTTATTAAGCTTTTTAGTAATGTGTAGACAGTTAAACACTGCTTGGCATGAGCCCCAGTTTTTCCCCATTTACTGTTTTAATTTTAAATTTTTAGCAGCTGCTTTCCTAATTTTACTATTTTAAGAAGTTATCCTGTAGTACCACATTACACTTGTAATCTAACAACCCTAACATAAAACAAGTTGAAGTATTTACACATTAACAAACACATTCAACATTATTCTTACARTGCCACTGAGTAAAGGTCTAAGAAWATATCAACARATTGAAATATTGTGATGTTTTATTTCCAAATACTGTATGAATTTTCTAAAGCCAGCCAAATATTGGGCTTCTCCACTAATGAGAAACCAGAGAGTARAACACTAGCTCAGARGTTAGCATCGTGAGTAAACATTAGCACTAAGTACCAGGCTAGGACGACACTGAAGTGGCCAAATTCGATCACCACATGAAACACTGAAGGCATTGAAATAACTGGCATACTCGTGCGACCCCCTTAAGATCACAGACTGTACATTTCTTCTGTTTACTGAACTTTAGCAGAATATATAGGCTTATATAAGATATATAACGTTAATGGATATAACTAAAAGCTGCCATAAATATATTATCAAAACTATTAAATGACAGATTTGGCCTAACCAACATGGATGAAATAAAAAAATAGGAAACATATAAAATACATTTAAAAGATAAGTTTTTAAAAATTTGAATTTTTGGAGAAAACTGCTACTATATCGCCCCGGAGTTATGATATGTGTCATATCACTAAATTCTTGCCAAACAGCCAGAATGAGAGAATGGTAGGACTTGTTCGGTGTCTTTCTGAGGGAACTTTGGCTTGAGGAAAAGGCCAAGATGAAACCAGGGATCTTCGATTAGCTGCCAGCCAGTTCAGAACCGAAGCTGCTTCAATAAATGTAAAATAACTGTTGTAAGTCACAATCAAAGAAAGAGAAGCAAATCCTCTGTAAAGGTCCTGCCCCACTAGACAACTTATGCCAACTTATGAATCAGTTTTATGCCTAAATTGCTAATAAAAGTTATATATTTGATCAATTRGTTCAAATTACATWATGTACACGCCAAAATGAAGCTTCCTGTTGATTTTTTCAATTCCATCTTCAATGTAGARGTCTTTAAACTATTCATAAGTTGGCATAAGTTGTCTAGTGTAACARGGCCTTAAAATGTCCACCTATAAGCCATTACATTATGACCACAGACAGGTAAGGTATGTAATACTATTGGTCCGGTCCAAGAGGAAAGTTCTGCCGATCACATGGATGCTACATTGCCTCCTATCTAAACATGTATYCAGACTAATCACAGCTATAATTGACAACAACCACATCCCATCTGAGAGACAGCAGTAAGCCCAACAAAACTTGTTTAGGTGTGGCTCAAAGGACATTGTAAAGAGAACTTCCACATCCGTGAAAAAAATAATAAAAATCTAAAGGGATTGTATTCAACCAACTCCACCAAACAATCAATGCAGTCCAAAGGATCTAATAACAATTTTATGATACCAGAAAATATTGGTTTGTTCAGAGCTGTTTTGACAGCTAAAGTTCGACCTACTTAATAAAAAGGTAGGTCATGGTGTTTTGACTGCTCTCTGAATGTTTTGTTTGTAATGATTTATCCACCTGTTTTATTATTTTACGACTGAACTGCTCATTAATAAAAAGTACAAGGGAGAACCGCCTGCTTTAAAGTTGGCAATCACAAAGTTGTTTATGACAATTTGTAAAAAGGGTAAAAGAAAAAGAAAAACARGAAAACCTAGTTTCACATCATTAAAATTTGTGCATAGACAAAATGTCTAAAAGCGGAAGGAAAGACACAAATTACCCGAATTTCTAAAATAAGTAATTCTTGGAAACTGTCTGAGATGCCAGATGTTCGAGGTTAAAAAAGCACAAATTGAGGTTTTTAAAAAGTGTGAACTTGTGCAATGGAATTAGAGGTTCTTTCAAAAGGAACCATGTAAATAGCAAAGTTAATCATCAACAAGACCACAAGACGTGGAAGTCATGAAAGTCACAGAGTCAGTGGAAAGTCACACGAGAATCGGCTCYATCTGTGGGGTAGAACACACACTCACCTGTATTTAAGAGGAAACATGAGGGCTTCCAGGGCTCGGCACGCCTCTTCCAGCCTTTGGTAGCTGGTGGAGTGAAACAAAACTTTGTGTTCCGTCAGAACCGCACAAAACAGGCTCAGAACATTTTGGATCCCTGCAAGAAGAAAAACAACAGAAGAAAACACTAATGGGGTGTTTTTTTGGTATGTAGCATCCAGACTGTTCCAGATCATCCATCAAGCATTCCCTGTTAACTTGTGGAGGAAACAAAAACAAAAAAAAAACAACCTCAACTTGGTTTAATGAACATCCCGAGCAACTTCAGGATTAACTCTTACAATTTTAAATAAACAGTGTCCRGTTGAATGTAGTCGCAAAACTTGTAAACGATGGAAAAACTTGAGGGTGATTTGAAATAAGGCCGAGTCGAGCTTATTGTGTYGAGCTAACTCAAATCTGATTTTAATTGTTAAACTGGAGGGCAATGTTTTCAGAGTCCCCAGCCTACGACTTGAACTCAGTCACATTTATTTGATTTTTTTAAGAAAAAGACTCTTTCCTGCAGATTCCTCTGCCTTCCTAAAATGAAAACACCACAGAGTCATTATTTGACACYCAGACAAAAAATGTCATTTGTTTTTAGTGCTTTTGTGCAAATAAAAGTTAATGAGAAAAGTGAGCTAAAACACAAAAGTGTTTGAGCAACATAAAAAATGTTCAAATCATTCATGCAACATTTCCTTAGAAATAAGAGGGACGGGTGCTCAATGCACATCAAGATATTACAACCAAAATAAAACCAGTTACGTTAAACTTCCTTCATAAGGCTTTGGGAAAAGTCTGAGGTCGTTTCTGAAAAACAAAAGGAAACCGCACTCTGTCATGCAGTATAAATAGTGTTTCAAATACCAGAGTGACAATCAAAATGAATTCTAACTTTATAGTTCCTGTTATTGTTTCCTATCAAGCCACTGACAGACCAATTCATCACATGTTGGAGTGATAAGGGAAGAGTATCACTGGCAGACATGTCCGCACCACTGGTAGCATTTGAGTGATAAACAGGAAATGTGAGCATCAAAAAAAATCTTTATATTTAATATGAATCAGCTTATAGTTGAGGTCCTATGTCTGCCAAAAATATAAAAAAAAACAACTCCAGACATATAGAGCTCAGGTTTCAGAATCACACAGTCCAGGTGTACACTTATCATTTGGAAACAGCAACACATTTCCGAGCTGTAAATAAAAAAAGAGTGACAGCAGCAGCCACCGGGAGCAGAAGGAAACAAAGGCAACAAACAGCAAAGTTGCTGATGACCAGTTGTGTCTCCGCTCCGGGGGGGATGTACTTCCTGTGCAACGTGACATGTTTAACACACATTCCTCTGCGGCGACTCTGTGACCCGTGCGCGCGCACACACACACAACGATACGCCGACCTGCATGTCTGCACAACCGCCCTTATATGGACATAAGGATGACCTAATAATAGGAGATGAAATACTTTTTCTATCTGACTGCGTGCAACCCATCAGCTGACTTATGAACATTTCCCGTCTATCAGCGCAAAAAGAAATCTGCACCAGAGGGACAGATTAGCAATAATTGCACTTTTTTCTCTCTAACTTGATGCAAGATACACAAGACTAACCCTGAACTATTACACGGGTTCTCAAACTTTATATTCTAAGGTTCATATCGGATTTCTAGATGAGGTCAAATGAAACKATGATAAGCTTATTATTTTTGTTAAATTTTCATGCACCTTAAAACATAAACAAACCGAGTCATTTGACTACAGCTTGTGAACTGAAAAGCATAGTGTGCACTACAATTTATTTTTCTTTAATCTGTGAAAATTCAGTTTTCTGAGGCTACATTTCTTTCTTACATTTCTGCACCTTTAGGTCTGTGACAAACACTTAGTTTCTGTTAATACAGCTTAAAAGCTGCAGCCTGCTTTGGCTGCCATGTTGGTTGGAGGCGAACAACAATGTGCACACAAGAACGGGTAATGATTTTCAAAACTTTGAGAATTTCTAGTTTATTAGGCATACACTGCAAAAACTGTCCACCTAACCAAGTTTTAAAATTTTATATCCAGCCAAAAAATCTTTTTGATCTTGTTTTGAGACTGATTTACTAATAAGAACTGATTGTGTTTGAATAATAATCTTGTTTTCAGAATGTGTAAGATTATTTGTCTTGTTAGCCTGAAAATTTGACTCAAATTCAGTCAAAGATTTCTGCCAATGGAGTAAGAAAATTTTACTTGGTAAGAATCTTACAATACTTGATTTGACTCAATTTTTTTCTTATTTCAAGAATCTTACCAAGTAAAATTTTCTTACTCCATTGGCAGAAATGTTTTTCTTAATTTGAGTCAAATTTTCAGGCTAGCAAGACAAATAATCTTACATATTCTGAAAACAAGATGATTATTCTAACACAATCAGTTCTTGTTTAGTAAATCTGTCTCAAAACAAGATCAGAAAGACTTTTTGGCTGATAWAAGATTTTAAAACTTGGTAAGATGGACAGTTTTTGCAGTGTAACTGAATGAAACTAGTCCCTTAAAAAAATTCACTCTGTACTGTACTGAAAGTGGCAAAAAATGTCAAACACAAGGCTTACAGCCTACTTAACTGGTAAAAGGTTAGAAGAAAGCTGGTGACCATGCCTTATGGCAGTGTTTCCCAAAGTTGGGGTCGGGACCCAAAGTGGGGTCCCGAAACATAAAGATGGGGTCCTGAAAAGATTTTCTGAATTAATTACATTTTTGCCTTAGTTGTTACAAAGGAGAGAGGTTAGTATATTTAAAATGGATAAATGTAGTATAAAAAATATTGTTACTATGCCCATGTTTTGTTGGCCTGATACAAATGTTTATCATACAAAAATAATTGGGGGTACAGGTCTCTGCTACTGTTATTTTCTGGGTCAAAAGCTGAAAACTTTGGGAACCACTGCACTTTGGTTCCCAAAGTTGGGTTTGGGACCCAATTATGGGTCATGAAGCACCTTGGATAATCTCCATAAATCAATTTAAAAAGTAATAAAGTAATTGCTGATGTAATATTTTCCCTACAATTATTACAAAAACACAAAATAAGTATAAATAAGTATTTACATTTGTGTAAAAGCTGTTTAGATTGTCAAAAAGCCTGTGTTTTTAGGGTTATTAACGAAGTTCATGTACTCAGACTGTTAATATTTGGGATCATAAGTTTTTGCCATGGATAGTTTGTGGGTCAGAAGATAAAAAGTTTGGGAACCAATGCCTTATGGTATTTGTTTTCTCATCTAATTTATGGCAGAAGAAAAGAACAAACAGCAATTCTCAAATCACATTCTACTCGAGTGGATGAGATGCCACGGTATTTCTGAGAAAAAATGAAAAGGGCGTTAATTTTTACTGCCCACTCACGTGTCTGCAGTGCCCTTTACTGGCCTGAAACCTGAGTGAAGAATATAAATATTGAACAATAATAATAAGCACGTTTCCCACACATGTATAATGTCTCCTGACTGCAGAAGTTACAAACAGCCCAGCATACTGAGCTCTGCTGATTAATGACAGCAGGTTTATGAGGACTGACCGGTCATGGACGGATATTAAGTCAACACAGTTTTGTGTATCCAGATTGGCTATGAATGCACAACCTCAATATAACCCCAATCAACTGTATCGTGCAAGTGCCCCCCATGTGCATGTTCTTCATTCTGTCTAAACAAACCGAGGATGGTGTTAATACACTCTGGAATCAGCGTGTGTTCTGATTTCAAGCACATTCTTTTGATCAAATGGGGCTAAACAAGGGCCAACTTTCCATTACAAAATACATTTCAGGTGAATTATATTTAATTTTGGTCCAAGCCAACGCACGCTTGCCGAATAACTGAAATAAGAGCGGGTCTTTGAGAATGACCTCAAAAACAGAGCGACGCAAAATAGCTCAGTTTTTAATTATTTCAAACCATCAGGGGGCAAAGGAGTGAAAAACATTCTCTAAACACAGCTAAACTGAGCCACATGAGTCACCGTAAATCTATTTCTTATAGTCTGTATAAATCCTTTAATGCCCAATTATCCACATATTGTGCAACCACTGCAACGAGAAAACCTGGAAAGTGCAACATGTTGTTTTTTTTATGCGTTTGTTCAAGTTGCTGAAATTAACCAAAAGACTGATGAGTCAATTACAGCATAATCTTCCCTCGGAAACACTGAGAGCAGAATTAATCTGTCGCCTAACTTACAGTACTGAAGTTTACCATTACAAAACAAAATCTTAAATTGAATGTAATACACATTAAACATCAAGCTGCAAGTTAAAAAAAAAAACATTTGTTTTGAAACAAATGTTTTGTGAATCATTGTGACTAAAAACGTGAACATTTAGTCATCTTGTCTTAAAAAAAAGGCAGCTATGACAACACTGTGAAAGTGTTGTCATAGCTGTAGTTTTGATACATGTTTAGTGGTTTCCAAAGTGCCTGAACCCACCCAGCTGCTGGAAAAGAAGGGAAACACTCTTGTTTGTGACTGGCAGTGTGTCGTTAAGAGGCGTTTGGATGAGCTGCCGATCTCCCGCCCCCAGGCTGAACAGCTTCTGTGAAAACAAAAAAGGAGACAAAATGTCAGGAAAAAAATATAAATTTCCACTAGCGTAACATTTGCAAATTCTGTATACTTTTACAGAATATATCCACTAGAGTTGCATTTAACTAACGCAGCAGTTTTTGATAAACACATAAAACATGATTTGTGACAAACTGCATATTTTCACCTCTGTGATGATAGCCTGAAGCAGGTTTTACACTTAACTTAATCTCTTCTTGTATCATGTCAGTTTCTGACAGCTAGCTCCTGAACTGCAGGATGCTTGAGCTCGCAACATATTAAAAACAAATTCCTCGAAACTGCTCCGGTGATTGCTCAGCTTCACATAATAGAAAGGAAAATTTTAGTAGAAAACTACTGCCTGTAATTGGAAAACAAACACGAGCGTCACCTGAACACATTCCAGACTGAGTGCATAACAAACATAAATCACGTTAATAACTCCGTCATCACTTTAACATACGATAACAAGCTCACGGGGGTTGACATGAATCATGCTTAGACCCTTGGTGGTCTGGATGTAGGGCTCTCTTGTGATTAAAGCAGCAGAACTGTGACGTGGATCCCAACAAGTGGGATTAGGTAAATCTTACCTGAGAGCCACCTGCAACAGGAACCTGGAATGTGAAGAGTTTGGCCACCAAACCCTCTAAGGGGTAATTCAGGCTGTCGATGTATACTGTGTAGATCAGACCCAAGCATCCCTGTGAGAACAACAGGCATAAGTTAAACAAAGACACAGAGGACAGATATTGACCCTTTGCAACTACGTCACCAAATCGTGGCGGCGTCAGGACYGACGTCAGAAGTGAGGGAAGGGAGTAGAGAACGGAGTGACCACGATTGTTATTCTACTTGTTCACGTCGAGCTAGTTTGTAGAAGTAGCACACCTAGTTGGGGCTCATAGTCGGCACGTTTACAATACGAGAATTAAAGTTCTCTGTCTGCGAGATGGATTTCTGTCCCCTGGAAAAATGAAAAAAGGGGTAAAACAACATGTTTTCATTTGCGCCAATTTGGGCGGATCAGTCCTGCCTGAGGAGGAGAGGAGAGCTGGAGAGCTCACCTGTTCATGTCGTGTGTGAGCAGCAGAAACAGAAGGGGCTCTGTTCATAGCTTCATGCTGCAGCAGCAGGCAGGTTGGCTGTAGAGTGCTTGTTATTAGCGCTCGTTATTAGATCTCAGAAAGTGTTGTAATCTTTCTGACAGCTCAAACTCGCGGAAAATTACAGTGCCGTGAAGCAAGTTAAAAAAATAAAAAAGTGCAGATTACAACACACTGAAAATAAAGATAAACATTTAGTTGCTAAAGTTCAGGTCTGATTTATTAATGGATTCAGACCATCAACTATCATTTATTAGGTTGGAAATTAGTGCTGGGTGGTATGACCCAATTTTCATATCATGGTATTTTCCACAAATATACCAGTATCACAGTATTTGACTGTATTTTTGTTTTCATCACAGCTCAGTTGATAGTAAAAATGTACACCATGGTCAGCTAAAGTTACTGTCTTACTGCAACACAGAAACTATTTATTGACTTTTTTCTTTTACTGTACCTCTGTCTGTGTCTCTGTTTCTCTCCCCTATATGTTTTTTCTTCTTTGCCTGGTTGTAGACAGTAGTCACGCATTTTAGTCCAGTCGTGAAGGAGGAGGCTTGAGCCAAGATCATACTTGTCTTCTGTTTTGTGTTTTTAAATAAACTTACAAACATTTACATGAATAATTAGTTGACTGGTGCCTCCGTGCACCAGTCAACTAATCTCAGTCCACAACTACTTTCCCCGGGATTTTCACAATAAAAGCACATTAACGTCTCCGTATTAACATTGTGCATTAAATCTATCCATGCATGTAACTGAGAAGGTGTATACTACGTTCAGTGATGGTGAAAACGGGAGAGTCGCCAACCATGCGCCAGTTATGAGGAGGCTGCTTCAACTATAACATTAGCTTACTGATGTGCATAGCGGTGCTGAAAGGAAAAGTGTCCCCCGTGAAACAGTTCACAAGCAGGCGCGACGTAATGTTCCGAACGTGTTCAGGCTATTTAAACCGGTATGTTCGGTATTCGGAAAATTCATATCAAAACAAAAAAAAAAAACACGTTTTTTTGGTGTGAACTGGTATACCGCCCAGCTCAATTGAAAACAATTTCTTTTTAGATTAAATATTGCTTGGAGAATTGTGTGTGTTTTGGTTGTTGGTGTCTACTAACTGTCTGTTTTGTGACTAGCTGTACAGGGGTTTCTGTGCACATTTTGACGTCCATCGTGGCGGATCATGACTTCACATGCAAAGGGTCGATACTAATGTTATATTAAACCCGACAATCTAGTTTGACTGAACTGTGACATTTAGGTCAAGTTTGCACACTATATTGCAGCAAAAATGCTAGCATGGTTAAAACGACTGTCTCCAAGTGTGAGTGCAATAAAGGTTGGTAATGAAAAGACAACAGGTTCTTAAGCTCAAATATGTCTAATTCACTCAACTGACGTACACGCTTACATTTAAGCTAACATGACCTATGTTGGTGCAAAGCAGTTTATCATCCTCTCGCAATCTCAAGATAAAAGTATAATTCAACAAAAATTCTTGGAATTTCTTGCGCATAGTCACACAAATATTTTTAATCGAGATATAATCAATTGGAATCTTGTTACCCGGAATATTTCAGGATAATCCAGCCTGGATACGAGAATGAGACTTTTTGGTGCAAACACTTGAGCTGGCTGGATCAAGCCGTCCTCCTCRGCCTCCTCATCTTCATCCCCATCAGCCCCAATACCCTTTGATCCCTGAAACATCGAGTGGGGGGGGGGGGACAATATCTATTTTAGTCAGAGTTCAGCACAGAGCCGTAGACCTTGAGCTTGARTGGAGAGCATGCCAGCACCACTGAGCTCCCGGTTTAGCTCTGGAACACATCGTGTGCGTCAAACATACCACACTGCCTCGTACTGATCTGGCATGCATTTCAAACATGGTGCACATTCTGCAGAAAAACAAATACCTTATTACACCKACCTAGTAAAAAAGTGCTAAATTGTAGCTAAATTTATTTTTAATAGAGTTTTGAAACAGGCAACTGTCAAATAKATAAGGTTAAAAGAAAAAACAGAAAGCTGAGTGTATTAATATAACAAAATTTAAAAAGTTCAAGAAATTGTTGAGTGCTGGAATACTTTCCTGAATTTATTTACAAAATAAAATAAAGCAAAGCAACAAGAAAATAGAAACTGAATAAAGACCAAACAAATTGTATAAAATTTTAAACAAGCAGAACAGATGTTCAAACAATAAAGCAAAATGAGGCAAAACTGTGAAAAGCCAAAATGAGAAAAACAGTAGCTAAAAGCTAAAAATAACAAAACATAAGACAACTGCTAACAGTAGCATTAAAAATGGAGCAAGTGCGCTGAAGCAAATTTCAAAGACTGTTTTGAAGAAATCGAAGAAATCTCAATTAATTTTTATGTGGAATTTTATTTTGAATAAAGATGAATATTAAAAAGTATTAAAATTACAAAAAAATTCATTGAGCAGTACATTTTGATATGAATCGTTWAAAAAGCATTAAGTATATGGAAATAGTTAAAATAAGATATGGAAGAAATTAAATTTAGCACAAAAAGTAACAAAATGTGCGTTTGTTAGATTAGTGCTTTTTGTTGTATCAATGCTTCTTGYCAATAAATCTTACACTGTTGATGCCTGTTAATTTCCCTTTTAACTGGTGCCACATTTGTAAGGAATATGCATTTGTGAGATGAGAAGGGGAGCTGAGTATGTAAGTTGTACACAGGAAAAATGTTGACTCTAGCTTTGAGTGTTTGGTACCAACCAGTGGCAATCCGATATCTCCACCAAACTATCCTCCAACATGACAACTCTTGTTCCCACAGAGCAGGATTTATGAGAGAATTACTGCCAGGACAAACAGTAGGGTAATGATATAAATGCTTAATCAACAACAGTTTAAAATACGCCTTAAAAATAACTGTAACAAAAATGCTTATTTACTCTAAATTCTTTTACAGTAAATATATTTATCAAAGTTTGTGCAAACAATTATTCCAAATTCCCATCTGTTCTGACTCAGCCTAGTTGTTCATCTTACTAGGAACACAAAACATAAACAGTTTATTAAATTATTATTATTATTTGCCTTTTGGCTGCTCTTTTCTTAAGATTTGGTAATTTTTTAATGCCGGATGCCCTTTCTGATGCAACTACAGACCACTGAGCTACCATAGTCCACATGTGTGGAGCAGGGAGCTGCCATCTAGGGTCCCTGGGGGGAGCAGATGGGGGGCAGAGTTAAGGCCCCCACATACTCGGGCGTACTTCGGTCCGCGCGGACTTGAGGCGGACTCAATGTGGACCCGAAGCGGACGTCCGCCGTACTGTTCCGCACGGAGATCAGTTTTTTATGTCCGCGTCCTCAGCGTCGCACAATACTGTTCTGGGTGCGACACCAAGCTGATAAAGTTGAGAGTCGGTGTCATTTGTGGATGAAATTGAGTCAAATCTTGAAAAGCGTCTCATGGAGGAGATTAGAAAACTTTATGACGCATCAATGAAGGAATATAAAGTCTTTCAGCGAGCAACAAATTTGTGGGAGGAAATAGCTCAGATCCTGGGTAAGGTAGCCTGGCCCTTGCCTTCCTACGCAGTTCCGCTCAATTCTAGTTTCCCTTCACTGGTCCATCTGGGATTTCTCCCATTGAKAAGGATTTCTTCAGGAGAGTTTTCGTCTGGGCCKATCAAAGAACGTCYATTTTCTGCGCAGTGTCTGCTAGTTACTTTAACACATGGCAGTGGAGGAAGTGAATGAAGCCAGTCCGTGTTGATAAGGCTTCCAAATTAAATTAAATTTGTCTGACAAAGCAGCAGCTCTCATTTACAGTAGTATAGTACGGCTCGGTACTTTTCTCCTCTCATTAGGGTTGTTTACAGCGCACGTGATTTCCAGTTAGCTTCTTAGCTTAGCCTCCTTCACAGTGGAGCTGGCACGCACGCGTCACGGCCAACAGATCCAATAATTTTAAACTTCAGCAGCAGAGGCCATGCCTCCAGCAAGAATCGATTCTCTATAGCCAAGAGTCCAGACCCTCGTGCGAAACAAAGTGAAGGACAAGGGTCTGGTTTTTGCCAGGCTATGGGTAAGGTAGTTATTTTCTTTTGTTTTTCTTTTATTGTTTTAAAGCTAAAATGCAAACTATCTCTTCCTCCTGATCCTTGACATCATGACTGAAATTGCGAGAAATTAAAGAATTTGTCRGGCAGTCAGTACGCTCGAGTATMAAGTCTCAAACATCCARGGACAATARGCGCGGAGTCCGTGCGGCTCACGGACCGCAAACAATACGCCCGAGTATGTGGGAGCCTTTAGGGACCTTGCTCAAGGGTCCAGAGTGGGACAAATGAGGGTAGAGGAAGATGTGGGGACTTCAACTCTCCCACCTGAATTTTGATTCAAACCAGCAAAGTTTCCAACACAGGCTCGCCTTTTCTGACCTCTACAAGTCGGCAATGACACTTGAAAACTGCAAATCACAATAAAAAAAAACAAAAAACGGACTTGCCTGTTAGCAAGGTCAATAATGTACAGTTTTTGTCTGGTTCCACAGTAAGTGTCTAATTTGTGTATCTGATGGAGTGATTACAGGCACTAACCTTTTGGTGTTCATTCCAGTTGTAGACCTAATTACAATCTGTTTCCCCAGGGAGTGGAAAAAATGCCAAACGTGCTTAAGTATCCCCGGACCAAGAAGCAGGGAATCAAAATAACCCAATCAGATGCCGGTCACATTTCTTTATTATCATTAGAACTTAGTTCAATTATTAAACAAAACACATTCCTGACCCGTCTGTCTGGAAGCTCCCATGTGAGCAGATAAGGATGTGAATTTAGACAGCAAAGACTGTCAAAACACCCTCACATTTCAAGAGGATCTTCAGTGCTAGAAAGTGAATATTGGTGTGTGTGTTTCTGTTTGCAGGAACGTGAGGAGGCCAAACGTGACCTGATCTAACGATTAACATGAGCCTGACAAAAAGTAAGATGGTGCACCAGATAGAGAAGGAATCTGTTGAATATAACAGTGGAAAAAGTTTAAATTACAGCATGCAGAGTCCACGTGTCAAAGTCAAATAACTTTTCAGAATACACAAACATGTCTGTTACTGTTTTGACCAATGTATAACCTTAAAGGCTGATACAAAAAAAAAAATGCTGAACTCAGAAAACTGTTTTATAAACCCAACTGATCTATTCCAGTTGTTATGATTTTTATGACATATTTCTTTTTTTTAAAGCTCTACGCTAAACGTTTTCTACAAAATGGAAAGTTCAATCAGCCATGTGACCCAGATCAGAACTAACAATAAAAGGAACAAAAATAAAACTTTCAGTTTGTATTCAGAAGTTGTGTTGACTTCATTCTGTTCAAGTTACTGCTTTGTTGTAGGGGACATATGAAAATCCTTTTTTTTAGTTGTTAAATGCATTTTGTTGTGTACTTGGAGTCTCTAGGAGTGCAGAAAATTTGATTTAGTCACTCTCAGTGCTGCATGGATATCTTTTTATTCATTTTGGGTCACATTTTTTCAACCTGTTTTTTAACCAATTTTGTCATCTTCGTTCCCCTTGGGTTATGGGTCAGACTTCGGCTCCAACATTAACGCTGTGTTCACACCGAATGCGTTTTCAAAGTCAAAAATGTATCCAATACTTTAAGTTGTCAAAACGCTTGTCAAAATTTCTCGAGACGCGCGTTACGTGCATTGGGAAGAGCCTGATGGTTGATTTCCTCTTCATCCTCTGTACAATGGCGGATGAAATGAAGAAAGTGTCTTTGCTTTATTTACTGAGTGCAGCGGCACGCTGCACTCAATTCATAATTAATTCACCAGATAATTAAGAGGAGTTCTGAGTTTGGTGAGCTGCYTGCTGACGAGGTTCGATTTCAGCCCTATTTTTGTTTGGAGCTCAGTTTGACGAGCCGCTGACCTGCATCGATGCCCACATCTCCTGCAAGGACACCAACTACAGGCACTCAATTTCAGCTAAAGAGTGCCTGTTCATCTGTCTCATGGTAGTAGGCATCAATAAGGAGACCATCCCACTGAAACATGCACCACTATGTCACATATCAGCTTCCCTCTGATTGGTTGACGCTCCATGTCAAGCTGCAAAAGTTCATATTTGCCAACTCCAACGTCTGACGCTTTGGACACTCGTGACATGCGTCAAACGACTTTGCATATACACCTGATGTCCCTGACACTCAAAACGAGTTTGGTGTGAACGCAGCAAAAGGCTGGATGAACAAGTCTTCCCTTGTTGGCATCTCCTACTTAATTTGTAAATAAAACATTTCTGAATTGCTAGATGGACATAAATCCCTTTATCAAACTAGAAAGGACTGCTCTGGAAGCTGGAGGGGGCAGTGTGTGAAGCGCCTTGTTTGGATTTAACGAGACAGCCTCAAAACGAGTTGATCTGAGACACCTCAAAAAAGGGGTGAAAGAGGGGCTTGTGGAGTTACAATAAGGAGTAAATTAGAGCAAAGCATTGCAGTTCTACTTTATATAGACCACAGCTGAATGATTTAAATGTGAAAAAGAAGGATTTAAAAGAATGATATGTTTCCTTTAAATGTGAGAAAAGGCTTTGCAAACCTTTTTTGTTGTAGATAAAAGTAGCTTTTAAAGTCCTACTTGTAATGCGGTAAACTTTTCCTTTTGAAGAACAAGCACAGACAAAAGCAGGTCAAGTGCGCTGAACGGAAATCTTGAGCATTTTATATCCATCCAATGTCTTGAAACTAGAAATTCTCAAGCAAGATATTTGTCAGCCCATGCTCTTTTTTCTTACTCTTGCCAAGTATCATCCACATAGTTTTTACTTTGAATTAATGTTCATAATTGTGTTATGTTACATTTCTATAGATTCATTTGTACTGAACATATACAGRAAATTTAGGTTTTGAGAGTTTGAGTCTGTTGACAATGACAACTTAAGAATATAAGGAGTGTGAAAAAAACAAATGCTTGACAGGAAAATATGAATTTCGTTCTGTATTCTTACATTACCACTTTACAAGGCAGAGCCACTGGGCTGTGACTAGCAGGCAAAAGAAATTGTCGAGGAAGTCTCCAGAATGTCTCAAAACGTTGGCAGGGATTCTCGGTTTCCTTAGAGGTGGGCAACAAAATAATACAAGGCCCAGAAAACTATTTTGCAATCTAGGTACATGACAATAAGCCATGCTTTTCAAAAACTGGCAGCTCAAAATAAAGTTACTCAGTTTGTTGGTTGTTTAATCACAAACACTCTGAAGTTAGTGAGACTTCATCTGAAAATTCATTCATTTTCTCTCAATCTTTTCATCATTTTGAGTCCCCAACAGTCACAGCCCAGTGACATAATACTAAAACCACTATTGACCAGTCATTCATTGGTTTGGCTCTTTGCAAATATTCCCAAGAAAACCAAACATTTGGACTCATTTAGTTGTTTTTCTTCCTTTAATGTTTCAAATTAAAGTAACCCCTTTCTTCTCTGGTGCTTCTAATTAGAWGGAAAAATGTGCTTAGCTCAGACAAAAAGAAAAAAGTGTTTGTGCTATTGTTTTGATTTCCGTAAGCTGAAAAGGTAAAATACTGTGGAATACAACAGAATTCATTTTTTAAAGATTCCATCGAAATGACTAAATCTCTTATGAATGGAGTGGACACATTTTTTTCARGCATGGCCACAAATCAAATTCAACTCTAAATCATTTTGTTGATCCAACTGGTGCGTGATTGACGACTGCCGTCCACATGTGGAAGGATGTGAAGTCACAATGGGCAAAGCGACAGCAGTCATTTAAGGCCTCCTACAAAGGCCCACACAGTGAAACAATTACCACAGTATTCTGRGGGGGTTTGGCAGAAAGAGAGAGCAACAAGATTATTTCTGAGTGTAAAAATGTTCTTTTTCGAACATAAGTGTTGTAATCAATAATTAATGGGTGTGTGGAACATTAAGCCGTGACCACTAATCTGTAGTCAAACTCAATTTGGTATGTGAGAGCAAACAAATAAACGGCACCGAAGGAGAGAACAGGTCCATCCTTCCCTTTACAAGGAGACCTCTCAGCCAACTTTAAGTTTATTAGACTGGATCCAAGCTGGCTGTTGTTATTCTAATATCGCCTGCAGCTTTTTGAGACAGCACGCAAGCGACAAACAGTCATGAAAGCTAAAAGAAAAAAAAAATTTCAAAGATGCCTAACAACAAAACAACAAACTTGAAATGGAAAACAGAGATCATGTACCATTGAATTGGCCAAATGAGAGAACCCTGAGGGTTTCTGACAGCCGGGCAAGATGCTCACCTCGCTCTTAAGTTTCTAACGCTCAGATGTAACCTGCTAGATGTAATCATATTTCATGATTTGTATGATTTTCATGATTTTTCATGATTTGATCTCCATTCAAAAGCAATTTAGTCATTTCGATGGAATCTTTAAAAAATGACTTCGGTTGTATTCCACTATATTTTACCTTTTCAGCTGAGATCCTTCATTTCAACCCATACTGTCATCAAGAGGTTTGATAGCTGCCCATGTTTGTCTTAAACACTATTTGTCTTCTTTACATGCTTTATTTTTCGGTCTGTACTCAACCAAAACTTGGTAATTTCAACTATCAAATGTCGTTTTTGAAACTACTGTCAACGCCTAGATTACTACTTTGCCTCATCTAGATTGTTTTCACTACTCATTGTCTAAATTTGTTTAATGATACTGTATTTTGTATATTTTTCTTTTCTACAATATAACTTTTGTGTCAACTACCCTGTGACGTGTGCTGCTGATCTCTTGATCAAGTTACCCTTGGAAAAGAGATCTTGATCTCAATGGGCTCTATCTGGTTAAATAAAGGTGATTGATTGATTGATAACATCAGACTTTACATGTCGACCATTCCTCTTCATGTTATATAATATCACTATGTCCGTACAAATCATGTAAACTTTGTCACAGTCTGAAAAAGGTGTTTCAGTCTTACCTGTAGATTGACCTCGGCTTCATAGAAAGTCAGACAGGAGCAGTAGTGTCGGTTTGAATCGATGTCCGTCAGCACGACAGTGAAGAAGGTAGGTGCCTTTCTTTCCCTGGAGAGCCCCCAACCTCCGGGCTGGCAGAACTGAAATCACATTCACGCAAAACGTCACTTTATTCTTTTTTTTTAAATTGACCTTTATTTAATCAGGCTAGTCAGTTCAGAGTTTTGGAAGCAGTTCCGTAGATGACATAAATGAACATTGGACGACGGATTGTCATTTTTACCAGAAGATGCTGAGCYGGCTGAGTCAGAGAGGATTTATTTCYAAAGAGAAAACCTATTCTGGATTTYACTTTGGAGAGCACTGACAGGTTCAACACTCCTTAGAGGAATACTAGGTCAAAGTTTTAAATTACAATGAACTTACGTCATGAATTGTAGTCATTTAAGTGAAAAATAACATTAWGCACAATTTCATGCAGTGTTGTGAGATTTCACGCTCATAGTATGGGCTGTGAACGGCACTCAACTACAATTACATCAAATTCTACAATGTCAGTAAAATTTACAMAATTATAGCCATTTTTGAYTTTTTAAAAGGTTAATTTGAGAATTGAGTTTGCTCTAAACAATCAGTTGTCAATGTACATCCAGGGATTATTTCCTTGATGTTTCATTAAAATCCCTTCAGAAGATATTTMTCATCTAATGATTTCCTCCAAGTACATTAAAATTCCCCCGGGTGGTTTATGAGATATTTAGCTAACACACAATTATGCTCACACAAAGATGTGGAATAAAACAGAAATCCATCTTCCATCATCAGGTGACGATTATTCAACATGTTCCGATTCACAGGAATCATTTGTTCTTTAAGTGGTGAACATGATCACGGTCAGTYGAGGACTTTCATTTTGCTTTGCTGGAAAACGACTTCATGTATAAACAAACCGCACGTCAGCATATGACTTTAGCAGATTGTGGCTAATTTTAATGGTCCTTCCATGAGCACTGACAGGACATCCTATTTCAGTGCAACAATCTGTCTACTTATGTGCTACAGAGCCGGAAGTGACGTGATTAGAATTTCCATGAAAATCATCATCAAAGGAGCATGATATAAGTAAAAGTCTAATTATTACTAATAACTCATTTAATTAGGGTTAGTCAGAAAATGCTCAATAACTGAGAAAAATGCTAGCTTGTTGTAGTAAACACAGCTAAAACAGTTTTTTTTTTCTATTTTAAGAAATTGTTAAGGTAACGTTTTAGTCAACAACCCTGAGCTTTGGATGCAAGAATGAGGCATACTCCCATAACAACCTTCCAAGTATATATATATATATATACACAAATAAAGCTTTATCCAAAAATCTTGATGAAATAATGTGCTATTTATACTTCTACACATTCTGTTTATTGCGGATCTCATGATTGCACAAATCAACAATACACCAATGAACGACAAAATGGGGAGATTTTTAGAAAACATCTGGGCACAGAAAATTAGAAACACTGTTACCATAATAAAAAGCATCTTAAAAAAGGAATTAGGGTCCCAAAGCAACAGCATGAGTCATTTCCAGAGCTCATACAAAACATCTGCAGTGTGAGAAAAAAATACTGTTATTCTGAGCAACTTACAATAAAATAAAAATGGCAGATAAAAACATTTATTTTAAAAGGAGTAATGAATGAATCAGAGAGGCGAAGGTAGTCTGCTTGGTTTCCGTTTTGGGTGGAAGCTTAATTGGCCCTAAAAATGGTGATTAAACTTGAGGTCTAACACAGCAGAGCTAGAGAGGGGACGGGGTTAAATAAAGGCGCGTGGTGGAAAAACAGATGGATTAATGACTAAATGAAGGGACGAGGAAGTGTCTCAGGTGCAGTAAAAACAGCAGCAGCAGCAGAAGCAAAGGAGGAGGAAGATGTTGAAGCGGAGAAGGCACGCAGGAAAGAGGAAGTGAGGAAAGAAAGAGGTGGGCGGGGGGGAGGGGGCGGTCTGGCTTGTTCCGCCTGGAGGTTTTGGACCAGGATGCCACCATCTCCCTGCAGATACAATAGTCTACAGGAAATCTGCTAAACCTGCATTGTTGCGAGGTGCATGCATTTGTCTGTGTGTGTGTGTGTGTGTGTGTGTGTGTGCGTGCGCCCGCGCGCTGGCCAGACAGGATCCAAGGACAAGTGCGGAAAAACACTGCGCTTGTCCCAAACTATTCCAACTATGCCATTCATTGTTGTCATTAAAGAGATAAACACATTTGGGACTGCATAACTCTGAAGATCACAAGAGATATAACATCCTGTGTGTGTTTGTGTCTGCACTGCTATATTCCTACAARGTGTGATGAGAAATTCTATTGAACTGAGTTGCACGTTGTTAAGTCTGTTTACTCACCTGTAGGTTTGTGGAAAGACACGTGCAGGATGGAAAATTACTCAAAAGACACTTTTTTTTTAGATTTTAGCAGTCTTGACTGTTGTCTGGTGTTTCAGTCTCCAAGTAACTTAAATTCATATTTTACAAAGAATTATGGCCCATCATCAAAATATCAATGAGTGTATTGCTTGTATGCCGAAACTCCGCAGAAAACAGGTGAAAAATAAGAGTCAGAAATGCAGAACATTTATGTTTTAACTCGTTTTTTTATGCAAAAAGCATGTGATTCTCCTAGGTTTTAGCACAGAAAACAACAAAGCACGCATTCTTTGAGACATGTTAAGTGTGTACTTGAGAAAGAAGAATTTGAAGCAGACGTGCTTTGTTGAACTCAGACTGTATCTTGGTTTTATGTAAACTTTGCAAAAAAGTAGGCCAATCTCTGAGAGGCTCATCCTTTTTGAAAATGTTACTTTAAAGATAAATATGGACAGTTGTGWGTATAAACAAAGAACAAACACATAGGCCAAAAACATCCACCTTAGGAAAGTGTGTCACTTGGTGTTTAGACACAAACAGAATCGGGTGGAAAAACAAACGCGTCATGTTCTTCAGGCAGGAAGCAGAATGGATAAAACGTGAGGTGTTACATGAGCAAACAATAAAAAAGATATTTTTTAAAAGTAAGGAGGCACTGATTAATTGACTGAGGACCGAAATCAATTCAGCTTGARTGGTGACAATTCAAAACACTAAAATCAAAAAGATTTATTTTCATAATTGTGACAAACTAATAAATACAGCATTTAATAATTTGAATTTTACCCCAGTTTAGTGATAATGACAGTTTTATTGACGGTCTCAAATTTAGCTAACTGTAATACYGTATTTGCAAGATGCCTAAGAATTAAGTAGGATGCATCACAAGASGCAAGAAAAGTAGAAACTATTTTTCTGCAGGTCTGTCTGCAGCTCAGTTTACTCCTCAGTTAAACAGACTGAAGGTTTTCATTTGACCTCCAGTTGACACGTAAACAAGTGGCGTCCTTACCTCCAGACAAATGATTTGAAAGCAGATTGTCAAATGTAAATACAGGTTAATTGGGTAATTGCTGTTATGTTATAAGCTGCCATGCATATAGTTACAATAAAAAAGACTAAAAGGATTATTCAATCSAACTAACTAACAGTAAAAACCAAAATTATTTTTCAAACCTTCAAAAATTATATGATTCATTTGTATGTTTCTAAGGGTAAAAAACAACCAGATAAAAAATGTACAGTACAGTCAGTGTTTYTTAGGTTTTATTTCTGCTCCATCTTCTTGGAATTCACTGCAGCAAGACCTGAAACTCTCCAGTTAGATCCCACTGGGTCATTTAAAACACAGGGTTCCCACACCTTGGTCAACATCAGATTCAAAAACCTTTCAAGGACTTTCCAGTAGCAATTTCCCCATATTCAAGTCTCATGTGCGACAGCAATTACCTACTGCRACTGCAGAATGTAACCAATAAACAGGTTTAATATCAAGTAAATTCAATGAAAAACTGAACATAGAAGTTGTTGAGTCAGAATCAATGAAAGAAAGTGGATTAAATGTTTACCCTACATTCATGTCCACAATACACGGACATGTAATTATGTCCTGGGAGGTTGGGCAGCTCAGTTTGGGAGGAGGGGATGTGAACATGTCCAGACGCTCGGGGAGGACAGGGGGAACTGTGGTGCTCTCACCTGGGCTCAGAAAGAAAGACCCACCCTCCTCTGCTCTGATTGGGTAAAACTATGACTATGACTCACGTTATTTGTTGAAAGCCACGTCAGTTTACCGTAATCCTGAGTTATCCACCACAACAAATGTTGTTTTTTATTTTATTATATATTTATTTATTTTAACAGATGATGAAAATCAGTCATGTGAATAGAGACCTTCAATCCCCAAAAAACATTCAAGGACTTTCAAGGACAAGTATAAACTTTGGCTGCTTTCACAAACTTTCCAGGGCCTTGAAATCATTTTTTACAAATTCACAAACTTTCAAGGATTTCAAGGACCCGTGGGAACCCTGTAAACACATCTTAAAGGAAATGGAAAAAACATCATTTGCATTGTGCGCATGCTTTTAGGTTGTGTGTTTAACTCTGCTTTCCCCAAATTGTAATGATCATTGTGTAACTGATATTGTACTGTATGTGTCACAGGTCTCTCTTGCAAATGAGACTACATGTCTCAATGAGATTACATGCCTAAATAAAAAATAAAAAACAAAAAACATTTCTACTCCATTCTTTGTGGTTCTTACAAAGAAAACAAAATTGGCCAAATTCAAAATCAAATTTTCATAAATTGGAAATCAYAACTGACAAGACACTGATCAGTGAAGTGCTAATAAAAAGCTGTGTAATGTGCTCGTTGTGAAAGTCATGAACAAAAAGAGGTTTGAGCCAAGGGAAGAGAAAATGAAATAACAGCGATGGCATCAAACATGATCTATGTTTCACATTCACCTGTAGCATGACAAAGTCATCCACTGCTGTGAAGCTGATGCAAAGGTCAGCACGTAACCTAGCCTATGCTCGGCCCACAGAAACACAGCAGAGCAAAAGGGCATCTCCTGTTCCCAAATTAGACTTTAGTCAAATGACAAAGGAGTTCTGGTAACACTCGTCGTACTGCTGTCAAAGCACACTGAACTGTTGCCCTCCAGCTGAACTCTGCATGTGTTGCACCTCAGCAAGGCACTATTCACCAACTTAG